CACGGACCGGACGGGCTTCACCTTCAAATACAGGTGCTGCTGTGACCCCTTCTCTCTTTTCTGTGGCCTTACCCGCTGCTCTTTGCACATCCGACCTCCTGTTAACCTCCCTCTCGCTGCGCACACTTACCGTGGTTTAACCCCAGCCAGCAATTAAGCACCACCCAGCTGCGTGCTCACTCCCGTCCAGTGGGATGGGGGAGAGAACAGGAAGGGTAAAAGTGAGAAAACTCCTGGACTGAGTTAAAACCAGTTTAATAGGTAGTGCAAAAGCTGCGCACGCAAAGCAAAACAAGGAATTCATTCACTGGCAGGCAGGTGTCCAGCCATCTCCAGGAAAGCAGGGCTCCATCGCACATAACGATTACTTGGAAAGGCAAACGCCATAACTTTGAATGTTGCCCCACTTCCTTCTTCCCCCAGCTTTATATGCTGAGTGTGATGCTGTATGGTATGGAATATCTCTTTGGTCAGCTGGGGTCAGCTGTCCCAGCTGTGTCCTCTCTCAACTTCTTCTGCACTCCCAGCCTACTCACTGGTGGGGTGCTGTGAGAAGCAGAAAAGATCTTGATCTGTATTAGCACTGCTCAGCAATAACAAAAACTGTTTCCAGCACAAATCCAAAACATAGCCCCATAGCAGCTACTGTGAAGAAAATTAACTCTATCCCAGGCCAAACCAGCACACCCCAGATATACAATAGCACATGTCAGCATTTCTCTTCCCATAGATCCAAAAGGGCTCTTTGTCAGTGTAAAAAATGTTATTGTTCCCATTTAACCTTACAGGGAAACTGAAGTCTGGTGTTCTCCCAAATGTTTAGGCAGATGACCAGTGGCAGAGGTGGCAATAGGGGGATCCGCACTGCCACACTTGCACCCAGTTCTGAAATTCAAGGTCTGTCTTGTGCTTTCCAGTCCGGAGTTTTGTTGGTAGCCATTAAAGTCAAACTGTCTATGTGTGCCTTCTGAGGCTGTGAAGGTCCCTCAGCCATCCCTTTGCCTGTGCAGCTTGGAGAGACAACTGTGAGAGGACATGCAGATGTATCATGCAAGGGCTGAGATAGTCTTTCACCTTTCTTCTCTGAATTTCATGTACCCGGGCTTGTTTAAGGAGAACATTGCCTGCTATGCCATTACTTCCTTTTTAAAAATAACGTTTTAGGTATAATAAGTATTACCTTACGTAGAATTTTTCTAATTGCCTATCTGATCGTGTAACTCTAGTAAACAATTAGTGCTATACTTTACATTGTCTTTGTAAGCACTAGTGTCCCTGGTTTTATGTAATATTTCAAAGCAGTTTCGGGTGAAAGATTTGCCCAGGTCCCCCCCGTGCTTCTCCTGACGCTCTCCTGATTTCCCCTGTTTGCTTTCCAAACCAAGGACTCCCTGCTCGTCATAAGGTCACTGTAGTTGACTGATGCTTTCTGCCTTGCAAACCTTTACTGCCTTCCAGGGATGAGCTTAAACGGCACTATAACCTGAGTCAGTACTGGGTGGAGGTGGAGATGGAAGACTTGGCCAGCTTTGATGAAGATCTCGCTGACTATCTGTACAAGCAACCAGCAGAGCACCTGCAGCTGGTAAGGACAGAGGGGGTGGGTGTCCCGGTGTGCTGACTTTGTCACGTCGTGAGAGCAGCCCTGGTGGTACACTGTAATATGCCCATAGTAGCCCAATTGTTCCCTTTCTAGTTGGAAGAAGCAGCAAAAGAAGTCGCAGATGAGGTCACCCGTCCTCGTCCTTCAGGGGAGGAAGCTCTCCAAGACATCCAGGTCATGCTGAGATCAGATGCCAACGCAGCCAACATCCGCAGCCTGAAGGTGAGGTGGATCCGCTGCCGCACTGAACAGCAAGTAGCAGGGCTTGCTCGTGTGTGGGTGTGATTGCAGGGAACCTTTTGGTCCTTGATCACGTAGTTCAGGACATGGATTGTATGCTAATTTTCAAGGAGGTACACTCTGCAACTTGAATC